CGACGATTCGTTGGCGTGAGTAATGGAATGGATAATACCGGGCTCCAGGATTCACTCCCCCCATCGCAATTCTTCCCTTTCCTTCCCATGCAAGGGATAGGGATAGGGATATGGATGATGTCATGTTTAACCTTTATCGAAAATTGATATTTGAAAAAACCCTTCTCCCGCCCAATAGATTCGGCCTTCAAGCAGCAACGGCTACCCGCCTGGCAACCCGTCCTGACAGCAAGGACGGTGTTGCCGACGTTCTTTGTGATTGGAGTGCTCTTTATACCGATTGGCGTGGTGCTGTTGCACCTCTCCAATACCGCCAACGAGCTGGTCATTGACTACACCCGCTGCAAATCGTCGGACCCAGGCAACGCTGGCATCACCTGTGCGGACTACCTGCAGGCGAACACGGGCAAGCAGTGCAACTGCAACATCAATTTCAATCTGACCTCCGACTTTAGAGTGAGTAGTAACAAAAAGCAAAGCAAACACGGGCGAGCACCGCCTTTGGGGTTTCTTTCTTTATTTATTTCTTTCTTTCTATAACCCCGCCTCCACTTGACCGACTTTTAGGGCGACGTATACATGTACTATGGCCTGACGAACTACTACCAGAACCATAGGCGCTATGTGAAGTCCCGCGATGACATGCAGCTGCTCGGACAACTGTCGCAGACGCCCAGCACGGATTGTGCCCCCTTTGCCTATAACCCCGAGAATCAGTTGCCCATCGCGCCATGTGGCGCCATAGCAAACTCTTTGTTCAACGGTGTGTGTTCTTGGATTGCCTTGGACGCAGGCTAAACAATTCTCACTGTGACTTTACTTTATGTTTGCTTCCAACAGACACACTCAAGCTGACGCAGGGAGGTGTGAACATCAATCTTTTGAACACGGGCATTGCATGGCCGTCCGACAAGCGGGTCAAGTTCCACAATCCCGAGGGCAGTCTCAGCCAAGCTCTCAAGGGCTTCTCCAAGCCCATCTTCTGGCAGCAAGGACTGGACGAGCTGGACCCCCAGAATCCGGAGAATAATGGTTTCCAGAACGAGGACCTAATTGTGTGGATGCGCACTGCGGCGTTGCCCAGCTTCCGCAAGCTTTATCGGCGCCTCGACCAGACGAACAACAATTATGCCAAAGGCCTAATGGCCGGGGAGTATACCCTGAATGTCGAATATCGTATGTGCTGCTACTTTCACACCTCTCACCTTATCTAATCGGAATGATTGCTCTCGTTTTGCTATCTAGGATATCCGGTGGTCTCCTTTGATGGCACCAAGCGCATGATTCTGTCCACCACATCTGTGCTGGGTGGCAAGAATCCATTCCTGGGCATCGCCTATATCGTTGTCGGCGCCATATGCATAACCCTGGGCCTGGGCCTGCTCCTGATCCATATGCGTTGCAGTCGCAGGTAAGGACCACACCAGAACCCACTCCACCCATACCCAATCACTCACTCCAAGCCATTATCAAACCCAACCTAACCCTAACCCTGTGCACTCTCACTCATGATACCCACTACTCCTGCTCCATTCGACAGCGTTGACTTAGAGTAGGAGGAGCTCTTGTACATACCCGCACCATCCATAACCATTTGAAGCCTCATATCTTGACCGTGGGAGTGCGCGATAAGTATTAAGTAATAATCTTCTCTCGACTTATGATTGACACATAAGTAATGTGTGTGCGCTGCTATTTCCTACCAATCGCTTTTGAACTAATCAAAGTACGTAACTTTTTTCCACTCATCTAAACCTCTTCAGCAGCAACATGGAGATGATCAACGTAAATCCACATACGCAGTACTCCTAGAAGCCTCGATGACATCATTTCCGGCTGCTTCACTTAGCTTTAGACCAATCTTTATAAGCATAAAGTCATTTCTATTTATAAATTTATACTGCATACGCTGCGTACGCTCTTGTTCTATTTGTTTATGTTTTTACTATTTTATCTACTATTTTATTCGGTCATCCCATCCATACCACCCACGTTCACTGTGGTGTGACCAAGGCTATGGCTTCTGCTTCGGCTCTGGCCCTTTGTTAATTTTTTGCATCGTCTGTAAAAGCTTTTGTGATGTTTGTTATATCTTTTATCAAACGAATCCATATTTATTTTAACCCCCTCGCATTGGAAAGTTACTGCCAAGTATTATCTTACTAGCTTGTGCTCCGATCTGATCTGTAATAAAAATTTCAAAAAAAAGAAAAGGTAAACCCAGCTTGAAGTTCTCAGTAAATGGATGGAAATGGGATGGGACATGCTCGGTACATTCCCTTGGCAAATCGAGTCGAAGCAAACACTCCACGTTTGCGTTATCCGGGGGTTCAGATAAGCCGCCAAGAGGTACGGCCTTATCAAGTGAGTTTCCAAATTAAACGCCCAGCCCCAAAATCCAATACAATAAAAACTGCAGATTATTTCAATTGATTTGTATGTGTATTTTGTTTATATATATATTTCTTTTTTTTTTAATTTACTTCTTTTCGGTTCCTTAAAATTCCAGAGGGACATAAACGACATGGTTTTTGTTTTTCGCATTATTTTATCATTATTCTTTTAATGGATTTGTATTACAAACTAATTTTACATAAAAGGTTTGTGTATTTATGCATGGTATGTGATTCGTACATAAAGTTTTGTATGCAAGATCTTTTGCAGGAGCAGGCAGAGGGCTGTGTGTGCAAATTGTATGGGTAAGGTAAGTATGCTTCTTAATCTTGTGTATTTACTATTAGTATTAAACGGCTAATGATCCTTGAAATGCATCAAAGATGCACGGTCCTATATACTACATACATACATACATATATGTATGTATCTGCAAATAAGTTTACATTTCAAGTCATTCCATGTGTGTGTGTGTGTGTAAATGTGTTGTTGTGTGAGTTTGTGTATATACATACATGTAGATATATATATATAGAAAAATTTCATCAGCTATGATCAATGGAAGGTAACAACTGTCATTGCCCAGTGACTTTGCTTCAATTAAATTTGTGTGCACTAGTCTCTTCTTTTATGGTAGGGTTAGGTTACATATCAGTTTCTTTTTTATTTTTCCAGTGTCCTATGTAAATCAAATTTCTTTAGCTCTTTCATCAGGTTGTACAAAACTTGTACATTTCTGCTTTCTGTGGATGCTTTCGTGTTTTTTTGTGTGTGGTATTCATCGTTCGTTTACAATAAGTCCCCGGTCCGGTGATGTGTTAAGGTTATGTTACATATCCATCAGTATCAGTATTATTGTAGATATTTTGTATGCAATACAATACAAATACAATACAATACAAATTTGCAATAATGCAAAAATTTCTTTGAATCAGCAGCGAGAAGAGGCTAGGAACAATCTAGTCATAACAGCTGCAAAAACGGAACGATTTTCGTGCATGCTTCAGTTTTGTTTTAGTTTTTGGGTGTTTTGTGTGGTGTCAATCGTTCCGTTTTTTTTCAGTGTTATGACAACGACAATTGTAATTGTTATTAATGCATATTATAAACAATGATTGTGTTCTCTTTGTTAATCGTGTACAAAAATTGTTTGTTCTATATTAAAACCAAAAGTTGTTGGGCCGAAAATGGGGGTTGTGGTAATAACTTAACCGATTTTAGAATTTTGAAAAGAAAACTGAAAAAATGTCAACCTATCCGCAAGATACAAATACACCACATGAGTGCGCGGATGCCGATTGGGAATCAGCGGCATCTGGGTCGACTCCCAAAAGGGTTATGCCAATTGTGTTTCTTATCATAATTATTTTTTTTTTTTCTTCTATATTAAAACCAAAAGTTGTTGGGCCGAAAATGGGGGTTGTGGTAATAACTTAACCGATTTTAGAATTTTGAAAAGAGAAATGAAAACATTTCAATAAGAGAACGATGTGCGACTCAAAAGGGGGAAGAGCAATCGAAACCAATACATAAACCTAACCTAGTCAACCCTTAAAATCTGTCTTGACGTTTGCTATTGTCTGAATTCAGTCAACGCACTCTCAACAATATTCCTAGCCACAAATACCCGCTTAAGATGAAAAGGGATCGCTTCAAGAGGTAGTACAAAGAACATTTCGAAATGGATGAAATTTGAGGTATTATTTGGCATTGGCATTGAATCTATCGTCAAAAAATAAATTTAAAAAAAATTACACGTTCCTCGCATTTGAAAAAAAAAGTATATATTTGTGTATGAAATTCTCTTATTCTGCTAGATCCAATAAATCCTAATTAAATGATTAACTAAAACGAATAGGTTCAGGTAGGAGTGGCATGGCCCAAACAGCCTGGCGCTACAACTTTGTTTGTGATTATTTTAAAACATTTGATATGTTAAATATGATAAAATATGTTAAAGCAATATGTAATACAGATATAAAAAACAACCAAACCTACACTTCATGGGCTGTACTTTTGCTTTGAAATGCAAGTTTTAACCAAGAGGGACATCCCTTTGGTTCAAATATTGTAGCCTAAAGCAGAACGACAGTACATAAAGTGCACTCTACAGTAGGCTCTCGAGTTATGTCAAAGGGCAAATGGTAAGATATTCGCCCCTACATTAGTGCAAATAAAAAATTTAAAAGTTAATTAAAATATTTTCAGTGCAAAATCTGTAACATTTGCTTTAGCATATCATTCCTCTGGCATATCAAAATAAGCACAAAAGAGCAAAAAAACAAAATTCGGATCTTTAGCAGACAACAAATATAAGCGAAGAGTTACGGTCCGTTGAAGTGAGAATCTTCTATATATATATATATATATATATATATATATTTATATATGTATACACATATGTATATCGCTTGGGTGTAGGTTTTTTAAACCTTTTTGTTTGAGTGTTTCTGTGTGTGTTTGTGAGAAATACTTGGATGATCTTTAAAACTATATCTAACTGAGCTGTGGGACGACTTCTTCCATATATATTATCTCCACTTTCTTTTATACTGCTTTTCGATTTTCGTGTGTTGTGTGGTGTTCTTTTTTGTGTGTTGTTTTGCTTTGGTGAGTCATAAACGTTTGCTTAATAATTGAGGTGTTTGTTCGCACGTACTTCCTACATATGTAGTTGCTTATATCTGTACGCTATATATTTGATATATATATATAGGTTATCTAAGCAAAAAATCGTATAGCTAAAATATGCGTCCTACCTCCCAGTGCTCTTTCGTGTGTGTGTGTGTGTTTTTTTGTGTATGTACGTGCGTGCGTGCGTGGGTAAAAACTAGTTCAACATTGTAAAAAAAAAAGATCTTATTTCTCTTAGATAGTTTACGTTGATATATAAATCTATATAAATGTATATGTATTATGTTGTATAAGGTATGCCTTAAGACTAGAAGCAAGAAGAAACTCTACTATGTGGTGGCACACACGCACGCAATTCCCACCCCTCTCTCTCTCTCTCTCTATACATAAATGTGTTGCATCTGCATCTGCTGCTGCTTGTTGTATGCGTGGAATGCGTTTTTCTCTTATGATCATATTGTGTTTTTGTGTGGCGATGATAGATTTTAAGATGATGAAGATGACGCTAATGGGGGCGAGGAGGGAGAAGGGCTGGGTTCTTCACAGCTCCTGCCTCTATCTGGCTGGCTTTGTACAAATTGGTTCAAGTGGCAACTCTGACGAGGTTGATGGTGGACAATCTTTGGACTGTGTTAATACGAGTACCCTCAATTGCTACTGCTGCCACCGCTGGCCGCTGCGGGAGAGTGCTTTAAGGAGGATTTGGTCGAGGCATTGTTGTTACAACTACTGGGAACAGTCGTCGCCGATGCCACCGTCGTTACCGTGGCCGTTGCGGTTGATTTGGCTGAGATTTTTGGGGCATTGCGAAAATGACTTTTGATGTGAGACTGCAGAAGCTCCTGGGAATCGAAACAAAGTTGACATAGATCACAGGTAAAGCTGGGATTTGACGACTCATCGCCGCCAGCCTTCTTACGCCGCTCACCAGTTGAATGCGAATTGGATGTGGTCGAGGATGTTGATTCGCTCTCTGAGGATGATACCGACGATGTGGCACCACCATCAGCATTCTGATCATCGTATACCTCCTCCATATCATCGTCTTCATCATATTCTTCTTCAATAATGTCCTCAATGGCCAATGTATGACCATCTGCATTGCCACCATCTTCCTCTACGTTGTCGTTGTCGTTGTCGTTCTCGTTCTCGCCTTCCTCGTCAGAGCTGGGCAAAATTTGCTCCATTTGCTGTTGGGGCGTCGCATTATGCTCATTCGACTTGCCATTAGTCAGGGGCTGTGCCGAGCCCAGCTCCTCACCCTCCTCCTCCTCACTAATGTCAGCTTCATCATCTTCTTCATCGTCATCGTCTTCATCGCTTTGGGTTTGACTTTCGCTCCCTACTTCGACATCGGCTTCCTCATCATCAGAGCTGTTCACTTCCTCAACGAGATCATCAACATTGTCAATACTATTGTTATTGGCTTTGTGTTGTTGTTGTTGTTGTTGTGGCTGTTTGTGTTGCAACAATTGTGCGGCAGGTGTTGGTGGGGGGACCCCTTCTTCATCTTCACCCTCACCCTCTTCTTCTTCATCATCATCGTCGTCGTCGTCCTGCAGCTCATCTTCTTCATCATCGTCATCTTCATCGTCCTCTCCGCCATCATCATCATCGTCGTCTTCCTCATCCCCTGTGCCAGAGCTTTCTTCATCAGCGTCTGAACTGTCGACATCCTCCATTTCGCTATCATCTTCGCCTGCCTTCACCGACTCTGCCGCTGTCGCCACCGCTGCATCCAGTCCACCATTCTCTTCCGTTTTCTTTTGCAACGCTGTGCCGGTTGGCTTCTGCTCAACCAACACGGATGCTGATGTTGCTTTGGATGTTGTTGCCTCTGATGAGGATGCTGCACGTTCTCTGTCAATGGCCGCTTGTGTGGCCACTGGCACAATGACATCCTCCTTCAAATGATTATTGATGTGATTCATGAGCTTCTCTTTGCGCGACAAGTACTCGCCGCACATGTCACAGCCCCATTGGAAGGGACAAAAGGGTCGAACCACCTTCGCATCGGCCAGCTTATGCTCGATCCACAGTTCTTTTGTCTCGAATTGAATGTCGCCACAGCGTCGGCAGCTGAGCGGCTCATCTACCACAATCACTGGCGGTGCTGGCAGGCTACTCACCTCATGCTTGTGCAGCTCATACATATGTCGTCGCAGGTTGTTGTTACTGATGAAGGTCGATGGGCAGTATTCGCATTTCAATTCACGTTTACGTTTCATCGATTTGCTCTTGGTGCTGCTGCTGTTGTTGTTGTTGTTGCTGCTGCTCCTGTTGTTGTTGTTCGGCGTGGACGTGGAATTCTGCTGTTGGCTCTGATGCTGCTGCTGCTGCTGTTGATTGGGCGTCAGACCCACTGCATGCAGCTCCCGTAGCATCGATGTGGAGTTGTTCACCGAATTGTTGTTGTTGTTGTTGATATTCGTCGTTTCGCTGTCGATGTGGTTCTACATTTTTGGGATTGTTGGAGTGTGTGCAGGGAGTAGGAGCAGGAGCAGGAGCAGGAGAAGGAGAGATAGAGAGAGAAAATACAACGAGATTAATACAAATTGTGCTCAATGAAATGGTTAGAGGATGTTGATTGTGTTTTTTGCGACTGGTGCGGAGGCATCTTTCATCATCATCTCTCATCATCATCAGCATCATCCCATCAGCATGGTTGGTTCTTTTTCGTTCTCCTCGCTGCACAAGCCGAAAAACGCTCACCTGCTTGCTATCACCTCTGAAATGCCACTTGTGATGCACTTTGAGTGCAATCACCTGGGGGAATGTCTTCGTGCACATATCGCACGCATATTCCCCGTTCTCGTTCTGGCCCTCGATCTTTAACTGTGCCGCATCCGCTGGCCCATCATCGAACATTGCCGCCAATGGGTTATCCACATACAGATCCTGCTCATGCTTCTGTATGTGCTTGCTAAAGTGCTCCTGATCGGTGAAGCGTGCACCACAAATGGTGCATGCCACCTCCGGTATGCGCATCTTTTTGCTACTGCCACCACTCGATGTGGCTGCCGCTGCAGCAGTTGCTGCTGTCACTGTTGCCACTGCATCGCCTGCATCCTGTTGCTGTTGGTGATGCTGCTGCATGTCTTCCTCATCATCATCGTCCCCAGTCTTGTGTCGGAATACGGCACGACCCTGCGATTGATTTGCCTGCGTCAGCAGCTCCTGCTGATGCGCCCCAGTGGCGGTAATCGGCTTGCGGTTGCAGGTTGGCGTATGATTGTCCAGCATCTGATGATCGAAGAACACCTTGCGGCACAGCGTGCACTCAATGGGATCGGGCACCTGCGGATGCTTTTTGTAGCGATGAACCTGAACCCCAAAATCAAACGATTCGAATCAGTAAATCATTAAATCTACAAAAACAACACTCTAAACACTCACCCAAAGACTCTTGCGGCCGCTGTAGACATTGCCGCAGTCCTTGCACGAATAATCATTCGAATCGAACTCGTCGTGCGAGTTAATGTGGATGGCCAGCTTCTTGTTTGTGTTAAAGTTAGAGGGACAGTATTTGCATTGGTACCAATACAGCGGCGTCGTTGTGGCTGTGGCAGCCGCACCAGAAATTATGGACTGATCGACCGAATCGGCAGACGCCTTGCTGCTGTGGTGCTGATGTTGATGGTGGCGGCTTCTATTGCCACCCATATCCTCCAGCATCATTGAATCGTCATCCATTTTCGAGGATGTTGACGCAGAGGCAGAGACAGAGGCCGATGCCGAGGCGGATGCCGACACCGACACGGATGATGTGAACTTATGGACACTCTTCTTGTGCTGCTTCAGCTCCAGCTCCGAGCTGTACACAATCGAGCAGACATCGCACTCGAACTGCTTCACAATCATCTCGTCCTTGATCGCACGGCCATGCACCTTGAACAGATGCACCTTCAGGCCCTTTTCGTAGGCGAACTCTGCATTGCACAGCTTGCATTTGATGAACTGCACATTCTGCACCTGATGGTCGGTGAGCATGTGATAGCGATACGATTTCTTGGAGCTAAAACGCCGCTGACAAATGCGGCAGCGCATGCGTCGGAAGCGACGATCCGCCGCCTGATCCAAGCTGCGACGAAAGACAGCCTGCTCCTGGGGCGTCTGATTGGCCATGGCAGGCGGCACAGAAGATGCAGAAGCCCCAGAAGCAGCACTAGCAACTCTAGCCGCTCTGGCAGCGTTCACGCTGGCCATTATCTTTGCCTTTTCAAGCGCTATAAGAGCCTCATCATCCTCCACATCGAGTGAGGCTGTCGCTGAGGTGACCGTCTCTGTGGCTGGTGTGGCGGTTATCGTCAGCGACTTGGGTGTCATGCGATTGGCAGCCACCAGGGCGGCATTCACCGAATTCGAGGCCGTGTAGTGGGAGCGCATGTGATTGGACAGGCCAATATTGTTGCTAAAAAGCGCATTGCAGATGGGGCATTCCTTTTGCTGGCTGGCCACGCCACCCACCAGGCTGCTGTTATTGCTGCTATCATCCAGGCGTATCTTCTTGGCCACGCTGCCAGTCTCCTCCTCGTCGTCATCTGCAAAAGCACAAGAAACACAAGCTCAGTTGTCTATTAAGCATACGAAAAAAACACAAAAACATACACAAAGAAATGATTCAACTAAAATAATAGAGAGAGAGACTAACTAACAGATGGCTACACACAGGACGTCTACACACTAAGCCTAATTACCGAGTGTCCCACCATTTGTTATTGACATCAGATCCTTCATCACGTAGTCGTAGCGACCCGTGGACACGTTCGGTGTACTGCCATCGGCCAGCTTGACGGCATCCGCATTCACAATATACTCAAAGCCACCGGAATGACGATTCTTGTCCACGCCATGCACATTGATCATGTGCTCGCGGAGATACGAGATTCGTGGATAGCCCAGGCCGCAGCGTACGCATTTGTATGTTTCGGGCAGTTTGTTTGGATGCTTCGATTCCATGTGCCGCAGCACGTTGTTGTAGTTGTTGTACTGCTGCCCACAGATGGGGCATACCTGTGGCATGCGTGAGAAATACTGCGACTTGGGAGCGCTGTCACGATTTAGGGAGCCGCCGCTGCCGCCAGGTGTTGTGCACGCGACTCCACCACCTCCCGATGTTGGCTTTGGCGTTGAGGTTTGATTGGGTGCTGCCCCTGCTGATCCTCCTGCTCCCGCTGCTGCACTGCCGCTGCGTGACTCATCGGCGGGAGAGCAAACACCAATACCAAGGGCACCCAATAGACTCCGCTTGCCAGGTGAGTTTTCAATGCTGCTGCTGCTGCCGACCAATCCGCTCGCCGTGGAGGCATTGTCGCTGCTGATGCCACCCAAATGATCCTGATAGACATGATCGAGGAAACGCTGATGCGTCTCCACTTTCGCATCGCACGTCATGCAGCGCAGCCGGACAATGCAGTCCATGTTGTTGTAGTGCCGTCGCCTGTCCACGGGATCTGCAAAGTCCAGGCCACAGAAGCTGCACTGAATCGAATTGTTGTCCTTGCGCTGCACGTCCGCATGCTTGTCGTACACATGAGTGCGGAACTCGTGCTTGGTGCGGAAACCCTTCGGGCAGAGCTTGCACTCGTAAAGCTTATTCACCAGCAGCTCCTTGGCGCGCAGCTTCTCTGGCCTCTCGCCGCTCGAGCTGTTATCCATCAGCAGTGGCACCACGACAGTGGGACTGGTAATCGCTGCGTTGCTCGTCTCGCCACCAAACGATCCCATGTCAGACGTTGAGGGATGGAAATTGGGCTGCTTGCCGCGCAGTGCGTTCAGCACACGATACAGATTGATGCAGTTGCGCTTCTTGAGATGCGATATGAAGAGCGCCTTCGATTCGTTCATCTTGAGGCAGTTGAAGCAGAGATTACGCGGCAACAGCGGATACTTCTTACGCACATGCGCCATAAAGTTCTTGTACGTAGTAAAGTATTTTTCGCAGCAGCGGCATGTCATCGTCTGGTACTGCTCGAGGAATTCGTAATTCTGCTCGATAAACTCCACCTTGTCGCGGGTGAGCAGCGGCTGATATTGCTCGGGACTGTCGTAGTTGAAGCCACCGCCCTCGCACTTGATGAAGGCATTCATAACCACCTGGCGATATTTTTGGGTCGATATATTGCCACCGGCAGCGCCGGCAGCCTTGCTGGCCTCCTCGGTGGCCGCCTCGGCGGCGGCACGCTGTATCTCCAGTGCTGCCGCCAGTGCCGGGGTGGGCTTTGTGATGGGCGTATTGTTGGGCGAGTCTGTCGACAATTGGAACAGATTTGGGTGCAAATTCCGCTCATGGCGACGGGCATTGGCACGTGTCGAAAACTGAAGACTACATGCCCGGCAGCTGGCCACCTTCGAGTCCCCGGCGGCGGCCACATTAGCCACAGCATTAGGCGGCAACGAGGCGGCCGCTGTCTCTGCATTCACACCATGCTGCGCCGTATAATCATAGTCGGAGGTCTATTTCAAGACACAGAGAGAGTAAATAGAGAGAGAGAGAGAGATGTAGAAAATGTTGCAATAAAGACTAGAAATTCCCAGCAGTTACCATTAGTGGTATATCGCCCTCGTGCTCGGAGCGTTCTAGGAACATTGTGGGATCGACCATGTCTTCGGATTCGTCCAACGATTTCATTTGATAGTCATCATCGGTGTCAATGGGCTCATCCTTGATGGGTATAGCGGGCAGTGGCTAAAGTTTGTTTAGTTTCCATATGAAAATAAATAAATAAATAATAAATAAGATCAGATTGGATGATCAAAGGGAGAAAATAAATCGAATCATATACGAATCAAATGCGATAACAATCAAATATATAGCCGATTCTTGAAGCTCCGACTATCGATACCCGTTAGCCCAGAGTTGACTTTGGTGATCGATATTTCGTGTGATGGGGCAGAGACAGACACGATAGCAGATCACAATACTTATCGCAATATATCGGGATAACAGGTAGAGCAGAAGAGTTACAAAAAGAAACAACAAAAAAACTCAAAATAATATCGAAATTATCTCCTGTAAAATATTCTGGTTGTGGGAAGAGAAGGGGGCAGATTAAATGGAAAGCGATTGGAGGGGGCGGGGTGAATGGGAAGTGGTCGGGAGTGACACGAAAGGAATCGTTTCGAATGCACGATACAATTACATTATAGGAGTAGCGTCTGAAAAATCGCAACTGCTGTGCGGCACTCTGCAGTGTCACCGGCATTAGCAGCGGTGCTGTCGCATGTTGCATGGAGACGGAGACGGAAGAGATGTCGCCGCCGGTGGCAAATGCAGATGCAGATGATGACGCCGCTACCGCCGCAGCGGCGGCTTGAGCCATGGCTGTGCTGCTATGGCTGTACGTGGATGTGGACGGTAGAACGCTGCTAATCTTGCTGCTACTTTGGCTGAAATCAAGTGGCAGCGACAACGGCAGAATCTCCCCCACAACAGTGGCAGCCGGTGGCAGTATTTCAGCAGCATGAATAACCGGATGGTTGGCAGCAGCGGCAGCCACAATTGGCACTGCCAATGATCCCGGTGCTGGGGCTGTTGGACCAGCAGGAGCAGTGGATGTTGGTGGTGGTGCTGCTGGAAGAGGCGGCAATGGTGGCACTGCTATATCCAAAGGTAAATAAACTCTTGGCTTAAATTTTCGCTGCCCAGGCAGACCAGAAGGTTGAGGAGCAGGACGTCGGGGCCCCTGTCGCTGTCGTCTCTTCTGTTGGTGCTGATGATGTTGCAGCTGTTGATGTTGATGTTGTTGGTGCATCATCTGTTTGCCCCGCTGCTGCTGCTGCTGTTGCTGATATTTACGATACTGATGCTGGCGATGCTGCTGCTGAGATACTGCTGCTGCTGCTGCTGCTGCTGTTGCTGTTGCCGTTGCTGCTGATCCACCACCAGATGCTGGGGTTGTGGAGGAGGAGCTGACCGTTATCGTTGGCACCTGCAATAGAAGGGTCTGCAGGGTTTGCTGCTGTGACGAGGAGCTTGTTGTAGCCGTCGCCGTCAATCTGGCCGGTTGCTGCGACTGCTGTTGCTGCTGCTGCAGCTGTTGTTGTTGCTGTTGCGGTTTAGGACTCACATAGACTGTTAGGGATTTTCGTTTCTTCAGCGATGGTATGCCGTCCAATATTTGAGCTGCCGATGGCTTCTCCAAATCGATGTCATTCTCCGAATGATGCTGCTGATGCTGCTGCTGTGACTGGTTCTGTTGGTGCTGCTGATGACCTCCTCCATTCTCGGCACTGTTCAAATCCAAATAGCTGAGCAGCTTGCTCTTGTTGGCCTCCAGCCACTGACGCTGTTTGGTCTGTGCGCTCACCGAGCGATTCTTAAAGCTCTGCCACGAGTTTAAGTAGCTGATGCAGGCGTGACAGATCTGCAGTGACAGCCGATCTTGAGGTGTTATCTGCAATGAAAAATCAAACAAACAAAATACATCAATTTCAAATTACTTTCCAATGCTCAAGGTTCAATCAAGCTTTAAAATTACAATCATCCCACCATTGCTCATCTCTCACGCCCCGTGTCCAGTCAGGCGGAGAGCATGAATGCAGGTAGGCGCATTCGCAGCAGCAGCAGCATCAGGCTATCATTGCTACCCCCCATTAATGTCAATGACCTGCTTATAATTATATGCAAGCAAAACTGCCGCAGCATCCCACACTCTCCACCCCGTCCGTCCACCACTGCATTCAGAATGTACACTTACACACACACACACAAATGCATACATGCACATTGCGGCGCCAATCATATAAAATGTCCTTCTGCCCGATAACACTGTTTGCGTGCGCATGTTTGTGTGTGTATATTTAACAACAATACTTGTGCGTGCCCTCCTCCGCTATATACCAAGTAAGTACGCTCATATATCGATGTACACTCTTACGTACAGAATTGTCTTGGACCCAAACCTAGCCAAAAAACCATTGAGCAATGTGGAGACACATTAAAAGAAATTAAAAATAAAAATGGATTGGATATCGATATTATTAGCTGTCAAATGATTGGTTATCGAGATGGCCCTGCCACGCTATCGAAGTGCAATTGCATGGATTTGATCAAAAGAAACTCTAATAAACGCATTTTTTTTGTTTTTACTTGTTTCTTTGGGCATGTGTACGTGTGTGTGTGTGTGTGTGCGTAAAGAATTACATGTTTAGCTTACAGCCTCCCCCGCTAGACTCCAACCGACTTCCTCCATCCCCCTCCAATTTGGCATGCCGGCGGCGGTTATGGTGATGGCGATTCCTTGTGGCCAGCCAGGGCCCAATACACAAGAATTCGAATCAGCCCATTCCACCTGACTCCCTCCCTCTCTCCATCATGCCTATATACAATAATCTTCCTGTGTGCGTGTGTGTATGTGCGAAATCTTATGTATTGAAGTACTTCCCACCCTTCAATTCCCCTCAAGTAAGAGACTTGTATGTATTTTGGATTTGGGTGGGTTGAGGGAACTGGCACTGGGTTCTTCTTCTTCAACGATAATATGTTTGTTCATTCACCTTATACACCCCATACCAGAACTGACTGTGTGTCGCCACATTCATGCCATGTTCCCACATCTCTTTCTCCAAATTCTGATGGATTGCAATTGAATGCATGCAGTACTCAGTACTGCAGCTCCCAGTTCCAACCCCTTGCTATACATTTAAGCCTGAAACTGCACTTTAATATGAAATTGGCGACTTGCTTATTGACCAGACATAACCACAATCACACGTTAAAACACCCATGCACATACGTTGGTCATTGTTGGGATACATATGAAAATATGTGTACATAGTACGTATAAACATACATATGTACATTCTTATGTATTGCATGTGTCAATATTTTGGAAACCCTTTTGGCTCAAGACCTTCTTTTCGAAAGTCGCCCAATATAAAGAAAGATATTGATATGTCATCCAAATAACTGTGCATCCGAGCAACCGATTTTTGTGCGTGTTTGTGTATATGTTCAGGAGAAGCGAAAGCAAGCGAAGGAAGAAGACCTGCCAGCAGCTGCCACCAACATGGTGTCGGTGCAGTTGCAGTTCACCAGCTGCTGCTGGTGCTGCTGGCGGGCACCAGGTGTAATCATCATCATCAACCATCATCATCGTCATCGAAGCCACCGAAGCTAGCGGAGAAGATGGCTGCAGGACAGAGTAGAGAGGCGGCAGGCAGGCATCCCAGTGAGCAACGCTGCTCCTCCGTCCAGTCCAATCAGCTAACGCCGCGACGAACGGGTTTTGCTGTGCGCTTCTTCTCCTTTTGTGTCCTTATTCGTTTACTGTTGTGTACATATGTATGTATGTGTGTATTTCTGTGTAAGACACGTACACGAGGTAAAGAGAGCTCGCGTCCTGTCCGCGTCCACACAACGCACACAAAAAAAAACGTGAAGACGTAGAGGAATATGAGACACAAGTAACCCTCATAACTGTGTGTCAGGAGCAAGAGATCGAAGGAGACTAAGCGCGAGCGGTAGTGGAGGGAGGTAGAAATCCTCCTTCGAATAAATATTCAACAATAAATTGCAACAAAAGGGGAAATCAAGTGGCAAAAGTGCCTAAGAATCGAACAAATATTTTTGAACCATCAGCTGATCGATCGCATCTTACAGTTATATTAAGTCAACGCTATTCTGTGGCTATTGCGCCTCTTCCCGTTCCCTCTTCCATTTCCAGCGTTTCAACGTTCCACTCCATGGAATGCTGCTAGAGAGGAGCAAGTGAATCCAATGGCCATCTTGGATATGGATGAGCCAAGCCACACATATGTACAAACATGCAACACTGGCAGGGTGTGTGTGTGCGTGTCCCCCGTATGGGTAATCAAAATCTCAAAGGCTTCTTCTCTACATCCTCTTTTTATTTATTATCAGAATCTCATCATCTTACGAGGGCACTGCTGCCGCCTGGAGTTATGGAGCTAAAGCTAAGGCTGAGGCTTGAAGCATCTGGGAACAGATGCGAGACCGAAGCATGCGCACGTAACCGCTTGGTCACGCTGTGCCCCCTGTCTGGCAATGGCACTGCCACTGGCACTGGATCTGGGTCTGGGCAGAGAAAGTTTTCCACCTGGGGATCATCATCATCAGCCGCAGCAGCAGAAAAATGTGTACTAAGCAACGCAACAACAAAATGGTGGAGAGATGTGCTGCTGATGATGCAAACGAAATTCGATGCGGGATGCAGGCGGTAAAGACGACAACGACGACGACGGACACTCAGGCATCAGGCAGGAAGAAGAGAAGCCAACCCAGACCGCCAACAACAACAAAAACTGAAGCAGCAGCAACAGCAGCAGCAGCAGCGGCGGCTTCATCTGTGTGTATGCCCATGCCCATCAGGTAATCTGCGTGAAGAGCCAGTGCTATAGCTACAGCCAGAGTTTGCCCAAGGTGAAACCACTCGAATTGTACCCGGTCCGGCCAGGGCCTGTGCCTGGGCCTGGGCTCGGCCTGCCTTTGTCTTCTCTGAGTATGAGTGTGTATGTGTTTGTATGTGCCGTCTCCCTGTTTCCCTGCCTCTGCCACTTCCACTGCCCATACCACCATTACCTCTATATGCCTTTGCCCCTGTCTCTACCTCTGCATCTGTATCTGTTTGTGTATGTGTGTGCGAGTGTAAGTGTGCGGAGAGCATGTGGTCCGCCTCCAGATAACGAGAACAGAGCAAGAGTCAGCCAGCCCAGCCCAGCCCGCAGCCATAGCCAGCAGAAGCAGTCGAGCTAGCGATGACGCCAACCCAAATGCTCGGTCGGTCGGTTCGTCGCCGCCGTTGTCGTCGTCGGGTTCGCCGCTTCTGCTGTGCTGTGCTCTGCATCTGCCTCTGCCTGTGGCTGTTCTTCGTGTCTGTGTGTGTGTGTACATGAAGAGCAATTGCCATGAAATCGAGCCCAAAGCAGACCAGACCAAGCCACCAGAGCCCATAGCCATAGCCAGAGCCCCAGAGCAGGGTAGAGCACACGCATCAGCAACGTGCGCTGAGTGCGGGCGATGGCAATGGTGATGGCGATGGCGACAACGGTGTCGATGCCGGGGGCGCAGGCCACAGTCGGGGGCAACCATTTTGTGTAGAGCTGCCGAGCGACCGAAACAGAAAAAAAATATACATAAAAAAGTGGATGACGATGACACGAGGGCCACACAAACTGGGCCCAGGGGCAGATCCAGAACCAGTGTCAGGTTGGGTCGAGCATTGGCATGGGCACGGGCACGGGCACAGGCATGGTCCCAGCCGGCTCTGGAAAGAATCAATAAACGAAGCTAGCGAAGCCAACACAAAATCTAGTTCTGGTTCTGGCACATGTTTCCATTTACATCGGAGGAGGAAGAGTGTCCATATCCTCCACCATCATCGTAGCCATCCAAATGGAAGCCAGGCAAAGGACGCACGCGCGCAAAGAGAGAGCAGCAGAGCCAACGGGAGAGTCAGATAGAGAGAGAGCGACAAGGCAGGAAGCAGGCAAAATAGGTGGGGGTATAAACGGATGGATGGATAGATAGATGGATGAATTGTCGACTGTGGATACCTATGCCCGAGGAACGTACACAACCTGGACCATGAGGAGCAGCAGCACAGCGGCAGCAGCACAGCGGCAGCAACAGCCCCCGATATAAATAGCAGCTGCTTCTTCGTCTTCCAAGAGATTTCCTTGAGCCCATCACCCATGTTCTCTAAAATTCCAGGGAATGTGAGTAGCAAGGAAGGAAAGGAAGCATCCACAAGCAACAACAAAATTATATGTAATTGCCGTTGGTTTGTCTTCGCCTGTGCCTGTCCAGGCAGAGGCAGAGCCAGGCACACACACATGCTTACGCATCTATACGTCACATCTCTAGTACGCATATACTCACGCACGACACACTAATACATAGGAACAGCAGCGACGCTCGGCCGCTCATTGTGCTCTATGCTTTGTGCTGGCCATTCGCTTCGCATATTTTCCTTCTGTTTTGCTGGAGAACAAGAGCCAAGAGCAGAGGTAATAGCAACAACAACAGCCAGCAGCAGAAGCGAAAGAAGAGAACAGCAAAAGTGGAGAAAGAAGAAGCAAGAGCTAAATATTTTGGTAAATATACAAAACAAACAAAAATAAACGCTATAGAATATGCGAAATGTGATGCCTTCATCCACCAGGAGGCAGGATCAATCCTAACCTCACAAATCACTGGAAGAATCGATTGCCAGCAGGGCAGCGCAGACCGTGCCATGCTATGCGGTGCCGTGTGCCGAGCCGGGTCGGGCCGGGGCAGGCAGGCAGGGAGTTCGTTCAAGTTGATTATGATGAAGCAGCCAGCCAGCCGCGGCAGAGCGGCGGGCCAGCGTACAAAAGCAGATTGTGGTCGGGTTGTGTGCACCAATACCAATGAATGCCCCTCTAGCCAATCCACTCCAGTCCATACCATTCCATTCCATTCGGTCGGTCGCTGCTGTCGCGTCATCGAGGCATCGTGACTTGGCAGTGAGCGAAACAGAAACCCCAGGCCCTGGCCTGGCCTGGTCTGGCCACGCCAGATACCAGAGACCAGACCCGACCCGACACGGACCATGCGGTGAGGCACAGCATGGACAGCACCGCGCGCACACACACACACACACACACACACACACATGCATAGAGAGCTCGACGGATGAGGAGGAAGAGGAGCAAGAGAAGCTGAAGGTAGGCGGGGTTGGCTGGTTGCTTTTTTTGTTGTTTTTGGTTGGTGGCCATCGGTTCGTTCGCTCATCGTTGTCGTTGTCGTCGTCGTCGTCAGCGTCGCCAGCGCTTGCACAACGGTGTGGCTGTGGCTGTGGCTGCGGCCGTTGCCTGTGGTTGGGCTTCATCCGTAACCTCACTTTTCGGATGCTTTTCGGAACGAAACTCCAGCCAACCATGGCTGGACGACGCTGCCGCCGTCGGTTTCATGATGAGGGACGCTATCCCAGAACACTGACAAAATCACACACACACACTCATAGGCATATTACATACCAAGAAAAAAAAAAGCAAAAAGGCAACCCAGCCATTTTCCACGAAAGCTACAATCCGACAGAACCACAAGAAATCTCTTCATGCTGCCCTCGGGTGTGGCTGGGCCTGGAACAGGGCCTATGCCTGATCCGCCTACTCCGATGGGTTTGGGGCGAAATGTGTGTATAGCATGGCCGTTCGGGGACGGGGACGGGGACTGGGGTAGACGTGGATATGGGATGACGACAGCGAGAGCGGCAGCAGCAACCGATTACGTGTGCACTGGATGACCCATTCTTTGATGGGTACACCTCGTCATAAAAAAAGAAAAAAAAAAAAAACCCCTCCACTCGACAAACACTACTCCACTCACCTTGATGTTCACACAGTTGTGGATTTTTGTAGAGAGCGGCTCCTTGTCGGCCGCATAGCTATTGATGATCGAAATGCATTCCGAGGCCGGGGCAATGCAGAGGCGGCAGCAGTTTTGTCGCGCCCGCTGTTGCTGCTCGGGTTTCGCTGTGGTTGTAGCTGGCGGTGTGGCTCCTGCAGTCGCTGATGTAGCCGCTGCCGTTCCCTGACTCTGGCTTGTTCCAGGGCCAGACACCGACGACGCTGCAGCCACCGTTGTAGTTGCCACAACTGTTGTAGTTGTTGTTGCCGCCGTGTCGCACATTCTGACCAAAGTTTAGTCTGTTGTTGTTGTTTTTTTTGTTTGCGCTGTGCCTTTTGCACGTTTTCACTTTTATTTCGCGTTGTTTTCGATCTCTTGAGCTCGAGAGAACGACGCGACAAATTGGGAATCGAATCTGTTTCTCGGTATCACTCGCGCCCACTTTTCGTTGCGCTGAGCACATTCGCCCTGTCGTCACGCTTCATTTCGACATTCGGTCGACTTGAGCCGATCGGATTTACTCCTGCTCCTCAGTTGGGTCGCTGCGTTTGGCAGGCAGAACGAAATCGCACAAGAAAAAAAAATAAAAGTGACAAATTCTGCGATCGACGTACGTCCGGACGCTGCAAAATTTTCCAAATAAATCCACTAGTGAGACCGTGAATGATTTAATCAAATAACCTCGGAAAAATACCGAAATATACTTTCTCTTTTGCAAAATATACCACAAGAATACCGATTAAAATCATATTCCTCAATTCTGATATTCGATGTGATTATACTAGCTAACTTACACCCTCAGGCGCTAACGCATAAATTTCTCCGATTTCTGATTCAATTTTCTACAAGGCTGTCTGGTTTTAAGGTCTGCTCTTATCGTATGTTTTACAAAATATCCCATTGTTGGCCCATTGATATATCAATGTATCGATATTTATTAAGGGTTGACAATATGTTTGTGGGGCGATTAAATGACATTTAAAGTGCACGAATGCGCAGTGCTGCATGAAGCATACAAACATATTGAATATACTTATGAATATTTTTTTATCAAATTATTTCCAATTCATTGGGCTAGATTTGTCTTCAGTTTACCCTTAACTATTTGAAGGTGGTAGTTAGAGCTACAAGTCAATACCGCCAATGATTAAAACGTTCTATAATATGCAAACTTTTCTTGAAAATGACAGGCCGACCGGAACAAAAACAATGGTGCTCGAAGCTAACGGCACTTGCATGCCCTCCTGGTTAAATTCTCTACACAAAACGTTTGCCTCTGCGCGAACTTTGTACATAAGTGTATTTTTTTGTATGTCACAATTTAATATTGGCAATTTGAAGTTTATCCCCGAATAAGGCAATATAAATTCAATACTAACATTTAATACTTAGTGCTAAATAATAAGTTTGTTTGCTGGTGAGCTTACCCTTTCCTTACAGTCTCTGTTTCAACGTTTATTTGAATTTCATTTCATTTACGCCATTTTTTTTGTATTAACTTGCAATTCCTTAATTTTTTTTCATTTTTCACTTATAACTTAAACTTTGTTTCTTTTTTAAACACTTTGATTTTTGTTCACTTTTTACTTCAAGTTCCACAATTTTTTTTTACTTTTCCATTTTTTCAACTTATTTTTTGTTTCTATAGCTCTGTATCGGTGTTGCCTCCACACACTCCGAGTTACTAGCTAAATATTTTGGGAGTTCAGGTCGAAAGTAAACTCCAATGGGGCGCAAGGCCTACTATACAAAATCCCAAAAGTTGTTTACACTTTTAAATTTTTTAAAAACAATTTTTTTTTCTATAGCTCCGTGTTGGTGTTGCCTCCACACACTCCGAGTTACTAACTAAATATTTTGGGAGTTCAGGTCGAAAGTAAACTCCTATGGGGCGCAAGGCCTACTATACAAATTCCAAACATTTTTTAAACTTTTAAATTTTTTTCAAAAAAAAATTTTGTTCTATAGCTCCGTATAAGGAGTTGCCTCTACACACTCCGAGTTACTAACTAAATATTTTGGGAATTCAGGTCGAAAGTAAACTCCTATGAGGCGCAAGGCCTACTATACAAATTTCAAAAATTTTTTAAACTTTTAAATTTTTTTCAAAACATTTTTTTTTCTATAGCTCCGTGTTGGTGTTGCCTCCACACACTCCGAGTTACTAACTAAATATTTTGGGAGTTCAGGTCGAAAGTAAACTCCTATGGGGCGCAAGGCCTACTATACAAATTCCAAACATTTTTTAAACTTTTAAATTTTTTTCAAAAACAAATTTTGTTCTATAGCTCCGTATAAGGAGTTGCCTCTACACACTCCGAGTTACTAACTAAATATTTTGGGAATTCAGGTCGAAAGTAAACTCCTATGGGGCGCAAGGCCTACTATACAAATTTCAAAAATTTTTTAAACTTTTAAATTTTTTTCAAAAAATTTTTTTTTCTATAGCTCCGTATAGGAGTTGCCTCCACACACTCCGAGTTACTAACTAAATATTTTGGGAGTTCAGGTCGAAGGTAAACTCCTATGGGGCGCAAAGCCTACTATGTTCATCCAATTTTTCGAAACGTCACAAAAACTTCGTTACAAAGTGCGAAATTTTTAAATTTGAATTTAAAAACTATTTTTGCATGTTTGGCATCTTTGTTCTTTGTGTTCATTATATCGGTTTTTGATGGTAAAAGGCTATATGCCTCCCTTATCAATGGACAGTTGTACAAATATGCTAATAAATCATACTCCAATTAATTAAAGAGCAATTTAAATTTGAAATCGAGAAAAAAATAGAAAGAATTACAAGTCATAGGACAAACAGGGTCAAGACTGGCCGCGATAAGACCTCCGGCTGCCTCCGTCTAGACCTCTTGGATTTGGCAAACTCACTGCCCTCCCTTCCATCGCTCAGCCCACTCTTTGCCGATAGTGGGGATAGTGCCGGTAGGCTGAAGAAATGCCCTGGAGGTCAGGTCCGAGCTGATACAACGACACAACAGCAGCAGCAGCAGCAGCATCCTTAACCAGGCGACAGTGTGACTGCTTGACAGCGAATTTATCGCACAGGGCTTGCTGCATGTGCATCTTATCATGTGCTGAGCGGAAATATACATAGGATTCTGCCACTGAAATACTTGAACAGCAATTATTTGCATAATTTAAATTGCCTCGTGGCTTATCAGCCACCGCCACTCCCACATACAGCAGAAAGTTGTGCAGTTTTGTATTTTTTTAAAATGTGGCTGCTATTACAGAAATGCCATTTCATCGAGTGCGATGCGATAATATGCGATGCATGCTGCAAAGCCGTTTTTCCAGCAGCTCCATTTGCACTTGCCACATGTCTTATCTGGGCTACTGACCAGGCAACAGAACAGCCCGCCTCCTCCATTACTGTCGCTTCTTATCAATCCATAGTCTGTTGCTGGTGTGTTTGTATATCACGCTAAAGCCGGCTGCCGTTTGCCGGCTGCCGACTGGCTATAAAAAGGTTTCGGTCTCATCGCATAAACTTCAGTGTGAACGCGTTATTCGATAGAGAGGAGTGATCAAGGATTTGTTCTATTCTGCAAGACTAAGAAAACGTTTATTAAAAGGTATGTAGGATCCTTTAAGGGTCCTTGAGCTGCCATTCTCCTTATTTTTTTTTGCATCATATTTTTTGTATGTGAGTGAGAGCGTTAAAGTACAAATATGCCCGATGTAATTGTAATTTATGCTGAGATTTTGGTTTTGCCTTGAACCGTTATGTTGTGATCAAACAAACACAGCTGGTGGGTACACCAGGTTGCATTTACAATTAACAAGTGTGCATTTTCGATAGCGATTCCCGACTACACACCCCCAAACCATTCTGGGCAATGCACTTTTTGAGTACTGTCTAAACGGGACTGTCTCTGTGCACTGCATGAAAATATTTGAATGCAAAATGAAGCTATTCTGTGTTGTAATTGTGAGAGTTGCTCGCCAAATGCTGCCACTGTGGGCAGAAAATTATGAGTAAAGAACGGCACAATTGCCTGAATGCAGCAGCTGCATGCACGTTTAGACAGTACTAAACCGCAGCAGCCGGCAGCAGAAAAGGCAAAAACAAAAACAACAACACGACCAGGCGCTTGAACATCAAAAGTCAATTAAAAAATACAAAAAGGCAAACGCAATCAAAGTTAATCGCAACGCCGCACCGCCACCAACACCGCCGCTGCCGCTGAGTAAGTGAAGGGCATGACGTCAAAAGTGCGCAGCTGCAGCGTCTGTGAAAAACATGAAAATAAACGGAGACTCTGAGACTGGGATTTGTTTTGTGTTCCGCGGTTTGATTCCGCTAATGTCAAGCGTTTAATCAATAAAAGCCCTCCCCTCGGGCGGCAGCAGCTTCAGTTGCCACTCGCAGTTCGATTCGATCAGAGCCCGTGCAAGATGCAGACTCCCATCCGATTTCTCCCACTGTTCATCGCCCTCTTTGGCTTGACGGTACATTTGAGAGCAGGGAATGGCTGGAGCTGCAGTTGCAGCTCGAGAAACAGGCAGCGTGTGGAATGGATCTCCCTGAATTTTCCCTCACATCGAATCTTTTCTGCTCGTTGCAGATGTCTTACAAAGTTGAACCACTGCCCGACTCCTATGCCGGCCTAGGCGAGGGACCCCACTGGGATGTGGCCACTCAGAGCTTGTACTACGTGGACCTGGAGGCTGGCAAACTCCTGCGCTACGACTTCAAGGAGAACAAGGTGTACAAGACCCAAATTGAGGGTGAGAAACTCGCTGCCTTTGTCCTGCCGATTCAGGGAAAGCCCCAGGAGTTTGCCGTTGGCTGCGCCCGCCGCGTGGTCGTTGTCAAGTGGGACGGTGTCTCGCCAGTTGCCAAGGTGGTGCGCACCCTCTTCGAGGTGCAGAAGGAGTTAGAGTTGAATCGGTGGAATGACGCGAAGACTGATCCCCGTGGTCGCTTCTTTGGCGGCACCATGCGCTACGTTGGCAACGAGTTTCAGTTCCGTCACGGTGAGCTCTACAAGTGGGAGGCTGGCGGTGAGGTCTCCATTGTCAAGGGCGATGTGGGTATCTCCAACGGTCTGGCCTGGGACGAGAAGATCAATAAGTTCTACTACATCGACACCACCGATTACGAGGTCAAGTCGTACGACTACGACTTCGAAACGGGCGTGGCCAGCAACCCCAAGGTGATCTTTAACTTGCGCAAAACCAGCCCCGAGGATCATCTGCTGCCCGACGGCCTCACCATCGACACCAAGGGTAATCTCTATGTGGCCACATTCAACGGTGCGACCATCTTCAAAGTCAACCCAAGGTACGTGCCTGCCAAGTCGCATTATTTTTTCTGCTTCTGATCTAATGTCTCGCTCTCCTCTCGCTCCTTTCGCACAGAAATGGCGAGGTCCTGCTGGAGATCAAGTTTCCCACCAAGCAGATCACCTCGGCCGCCTTCGGTGGCCCCAAACTGGACATTCTCTATGTGACAACAGCGGCCAAGTTCGATCAGCCGGAACCAGCGGGTACCACCTACCAGGTTACGGGCCTGAATGCCACTGGCTATCCAGGCACCTACCTAAAGGCCTAGGTACTGGACTAGATCTTTAATCACAACTCTTTGAAACTGTGTATCACGTATAACGTATTAAATGTTATAAT